CAATGGGAGCTGCAGAGGCGGCACCTGCAGGTGTGAGGACAAGCACAAAGTCTCATTGACTGGCCATGCACTCAGGGCTACAGGGTATCCCTTCATGTCACTGTGTAACTGTGACAGCCCTCCCTAACTGTCTCGCTCGTTTCCCTCCTGAGATGTAACGAGCCTTTGGTCCCCTCACAGTGGCTGGCTCCCGCCTCTGGTGGCTCCTTTGGTTGACCCCCACCACGGCAGGCCCACCGTCACTATTATCGCCAAAGTATCACACTCCCTGAGGAACTGGGAGAGGGGAAAGGGGGGCCCAGGCCCACCCTCACTCACGAGCCCCAGCCTAGGGCCCTAAGGACTCGGATCAGCTATGATCCGGTCTGGCTGACGGGGCATCCCGCCGAAATTCTTCAGCCCACCAACCCTTTCGGGTTCTGCCCTGGGCTGCTTCCTTTCCCCTACGGCTTTCCTCTGCTCCGGGGCTCACCTTCCCCTTTGTCGACAGGATGCCTAGGGGGCGGCTGCTGTCCAAACTTGCCATCACCCTGGCGCCGGTTCACCCGAGCCGTCCTATGTCTCGCTCCAGGTGTGTCAAGAACTTCGCCGCCCTCTCCGTGCCCCCTTTCCTCCGCTCTCTTGTTTTCAAATGCTGCGCCGTTTCCGCCCTCCTTGGGGGTGGGGCACGTTCCTCCTGGAGTCAAGGGGTGGGGCTAGCGTGCCTCCACGCCCGCTCTCTCTCCTTGCCCCATGCAGCTGCGGCGCCGCTCACCGTGCTGTCCTGCCTGGTTAGCCGCCGAGCGGTGTGGGAGCAAATGGCGCATCGCCGGGGCTCATCCCTTCTGGCGCTGAACAAAGCCTGTTCGGTGGGGGCTGCAGTGCGGGGCGAGGGCGCCGGAGTCAAGGGGTGGGGCTAGCGTGCCTCCACGCCCGCTCTCTCTCCTTGCCCCATGCAGCTGCGGCGCCGCTCACCGTGCTGTCCTGCCTGGTTAGCCGCCGAGCGGTGTGGGAGCAAATGGCGCATCGCCGGGGCTCATCCCTTCTGGCGCTGAACAAAGCCTGTTCGGTGGGGGCTGCAGTGCGGGGCGAGGGCGCCCCGTCACAGTAACATACATAACATAAAGCAACATAACATAGGAGCATTTCCACTGGTGTCCTCACACAACCAAATTCCACCGTGGAGCGTGCGTCCTCCAGCCCCCTGTCCCAGCTCTTAGCACCCTCCTGAACCCCAAACCACTCATTCCTAGACATAGGTGGGGCATTGGAAAAGAAGCTTGGGTAGGGTTGTGGGAGAGGTTTGTTTTGTGAGACAAGAAGACTGGCAGATAGATTTGGCCCATGGTCTGCCTAGTGACTATCTCTGCCCTACCCTGTGAAGATGGACAGACAAGTCTTAAGGTTAGAAATTCATTCAATTTCCTTAGAAATCAGAAGATTCTCATTGCGGATGTCCCAAAGGAAGCACACATTATGCATAAAATGGAGTAGTGAAGACCTGTTTCTGTACTCAGCGCAACACTAAGCTAAGATCATTCTGTTCACTTGGACACTCACACAATCTAATTCAAAGTACACTTCTATTTCATAGCACAGATGCAAAGGCACTTGATAATGCCTAGCCACCTACTCTGCTGTGACTGATGCTTATTATATGACGCTTAATAGCCTCCGTGGATCCCCCTCTCTGTTTGTTTTATGACTTACTACCTTTCTGGAGCAGGCTTACAGTTTGCATTAGATGTGCACACAGTGCTTAGCACAATGGGACCACTATCTCTGACAGGGCCTCTGCATGGCTATCAGGTTAGTTAGCCTCCTGGCTAACACATCAGGCTTGAACCAGGCATCTACAGAGGTGCTAAAAACAACCGTGGATCCCCCTCTCTGTTTGTTTTATGACTTACTACCTTTCTGGAGCAGGCTTACAGTTTGCATTAGATGTGCACACAGTGCTTAGCACAATGGGACCACTATCTCTGACAGGGCCTCTGCATGGCTATCAGGTTAGTTAGCCTCCTGGCTAACACATCAGGCTTGAACCAGGCATCTACAGAGGTGCTAAAAACAAGTGAATTTTAATAACTTATGTCCTCATGGCACAGAGGGAGAAGACCTGTAACTTACCCAGGGGAGCCAACAGCCCTCAGGGGGCAGGGGCAGCTCCACATTCTTGGAAGGGGTGGTGCCTTTGGTAGAAGGGGTAGGGGCCGCGGGAGTGAGTGCACCACACTGGTCCCCTCAACAGCCCTCAGCATCACCCAGAGTGCAGCACAACTCCCCCATCCCTTAGAGGCACCTGGAGCGGTTACACAGTGCTCTGGGGGCAATTTAAAGGGCCCAGGGCTCTAGGAGCTACTGCTGCCACAGTAATGGTGATGGGGGCTGAAGACTTGGGCCCTTTAGAATTGCTGGGCCTGGGGCAATTTCTCCCTTTGCCTCCTCCCTTCCCCGTCGGTGGGTCAGAACTCACCAGAAGGCGACACTACCACAGTGCTACTACTCCATGAGTATGTTGTGTACGTTACCCGGTTTTCCAATGAATCTTCAAGACGTTTGCTTCCCTCTCTGAGCCTAGGAAGTGGCCTTCAACAGGGGGAGGAGAGCAGACACTGAACCCGGGCTTCAATGACAGCTTGCTGCATGTGCCCATGTTTTTTTAAAGTTGGCCCTATCTTGCCACCAAACAATAGCAGTGAAGCGACGTTTTTGTGATTCTAGCATAAGGACAGTGCAGCACAAATGGCTTCAAGACAAGATGTAGACATGGGAAGGCAGCATAGGAAATCTTTACATGACCATATTCCTTTGTGGTGGCTTTAGTGAAAGCTAAAGGCCAAAGTAATTTAAGGTAATTTTATTACCACAAACAAACAGATTTTAATCTTGAATAGTTTTTATTAGACACACAGGCAGGGCATGCAGAAAGAAAAACAAACCAGTTCATCAAGGTAATTTCTTCCGCCTAGCAAAAAGTCAGACAATTTTCTCACTTTCTTTCCTCAGAAATGTGTGTTTGATCTGTGTAGCCCTGACCTGTGCTCTGTAATATAATTACCTGCACTCTTTGAAGGAAGCTGTGGAATTGAAGAACAAAAAAACAACTTCGGCTAACATCATGATTCTGTACCCTTTCAACATCTCACTGATCTACAGTATTGTTTCCTTCAACGGAGAAAGTACATTTTAGCACACAGTCTGTAATTAACCATCCTTTGCAGGGTAGGATTATGCATTGTTGGCACAGAAGGGTCTCTAAATTTAAGAACATAATCTGCACATCTGTCTTTGTTCAGAACTCCTACGGATGGATGAGAACTGTTTGTGGAGACTGAGGGTAGCATATATGTTCTTTGACCGTAACCTCCTTCTAGGTGCAGGGACCATAGTGCAGGGACTATGTGTGCTCCATAGATCTGAGCCCACATCTGATGCCCAAAGAAAGAACGGAAGTAGCACGTGGCACTCAGAGAACATAGGAATATAACAACATAAGAATGGCTGTACGGGGACAGATCAATGTCCATCCAGCTCAATAGCCTACTTTCTAACAGTAGCCAGTGCCAGATTCTTCAGAGGGAATGAGCAGTCTCAGCTTCTGGCAGAGCATACAGTTGCATCCCTGACCACCTTGCTAAAAGCCACTAGTGGATTTATCCTCTGTAAATTTAGGACGACACACTATTGTGTCAGACCTACTATTAATTTAATTGGGGGTCCCTGATTCTTGTGAAGAGGTGAATAACATTTCCTTATTCCCTTTTTCCACACCATTTGTGATTTTGAAAGACATCTTTAATTTAGGCTAAGTTTTAGTCACAGGTATTTTTAATAAAAGTCTTGGACAGGTCCGAGGCAACAAACAACAAATCATGGGCCGTGACTATATACTCCTGACTAAATGTTGGGTGCTACGGTGGAGATAAGTGGCCCTGGGTATAGCAGTTGCTTAGGGGCAGTCTGGGATCCTTGCTGCTGCTGGGAGTGGGAGTTGGCAGGGCGGCAGGCTCCCTACAGCTCCCCAGAAGCAGCAACATGTCCCTTCTATGCAGAGACCTGGCCCAGGAGCTCCACTTGCTGCCTCCATCCCAACCGTTGGCTCCACAGCTACCAGTGGTGGGGCACCATGGCTAATGGTCCCTTTGTGTGCTAATGTGACAGACTAATTGGAAAGATCACAAAGGGACCATTAGCCACAGCTAATGTGCTGTGGGAAAGGAGCCTGCATGTGGACGCCGCATGGAGGACCCCCTGGCTGTGCCTCCACCTAGCAGCCAAGGCAAGGACATGTCACCGCTTCGGGGTGCCTTGTGAGGTAAGTGTCACACAGAGTTCTCACTTGCCCCCACATCCCAACCCCCTTCCCCAAGTGCCCTTCCACACCCACACTCCTGCTGATGCTGCTGGTGCAGTGGACCAAGACTGCCCAGCAGCAGAGAATGCAGCTGCCACTGCAGAAATCATGGAGGTCCTGGAAAGTCATGGAATCTGAGACTTCTATGACAGGCATACAGCCTTATCTATAAAACCTCCACTTAGGCATCTCTTTTCTAAGCCAAGTCTTTTTAATCTCTCCTCACATGGAAGCTGTTCCATACCTCTCCTCATTGTAGCTGCTCTTCTCTGTACCTTTTCCTATTTTTTTTTAAAGATGGAATTACCAGAACTGAATGTGGCAGTCAAAGTGTGCAAGTACCCTAGGTGTTGGAGAGGGGAACAAGCACTCCCTGGCTTGAAGTGGTTTCCATAGGGTTTACAGTTGGTTCAATAGCTACCAATACCCCCACTATAAAAACTGTTCCAGTACCCCTGGCATATACCATGGTATTATGATATATTCTATTCTAATAGTTTGTCATATTCGGTGAGCTTTGTTGACTGTTGCTGCACATTGAGCAGATGTTTTCAAAGAATTATTCATGATGACACCAAGATCCCTTCATTGTGTAGTACAGCTAATTTAAACCACATTATGTTGAATACGCGTCACAATAAATATTAAATAAGCCATCACTTACAAGTTCTTCACATCAGTAATTCCTCGAAAGGCCTTCCTTGGGATTCCTTGAATTTGGTTTTCACTTAGATCTCTAAACAAGGGAAGAGAAAAAACACATCTCATTAACAAAGAGAACATATTTCTCTAACTGCATTGAGGTAACAGAATGTAACCAGTTTGGAGACTCCAGACTTGCATGACTTTGGCAAAGAAATTCCAATATTCCCTTTATTAAAAAAATAAAGTTGTGCCTCTTATTAAAAATGGCTATAAAAGTAACAGTGTCAGCCACATCTCTAAATATTCTTTTATGAGCTATCATATTAATTAGTGCACGTAAATCATTGCCACACTATTTGCAATGCAATTGTGCACCTCAGCTTTATAATCTTTTAATTTTGGTGCAAGTGTGGCTTTTTACCATTGTTCATGGGGGACAGTATTAATCTACTTCTTTAAAATGCAAATAAGGTTGACACATTATCTTAATAAAATGCCGGAGTTTCTATGATCAAATCATCTTCAATTTCTGTAGACGCTGAGGCTACGTCTAGACTAAATCCCTTTTTCGTAAAAGGGATGCAAATAGACATATCGCAATTGCTAATGAAGCGGGGATTTAAATCTCCCCCGCTTCATTAGCATAAAAATGGCTGCCGCTTTTTTTCGGCACGGAGCTTTGCCGGAAAAAAGTGCCAGTCTAGACACGGATCTTGCAGAAAATAAAGCCTTTTCCGAAAGATCCCTTATCCCTTATTTTAAAGATCTCTTAAAATATCCCCTTATTTTAAGAGGGATAAGGGATCTTTTGGAAAAGGATTTTATGCTAATGAAGCGGGGGAGATTTAAATCCCCACTTCATTAGCAATGGCGATACGTCTAATTTACATCCCTTTTCCGAAAAAGGGATGCAATCTAGACGTAGTCTGATAGCTTAACTAGAACCTGGATGAACAGAATCATAGGGTCAAATAATTTATTCATCCGAATTGCAAAGTAAGGTAAACAAATGTGTGACCAGTTTTGTTCAGAATTAATTGTGCTGTGTGTCAATTAGAAAAATGACATTTTTAATCTGCACTATCACCCCTTTAAGATGTCTTCTTTGCAGATTACTCTCAAATTTCTTTGCCCTTAATTTTTTAGAATTTAATAGAATTTTAAGCTTTGCATTAGAGACAGCACAGGTAGCAATGTCCATACTTCAGCTTGCCAAACTGCTAATATAGGCATGTCCACACGACTTCAGCGAGTATGTCTTGCAGCCATGGTTGACTGACTTGCTGGAGTGGGACTTGCGTTAACACACTGAGGCTACGTCTAGACTACATGCCTCTGGCGACAAAGGCATGTAGATGAGGCTACCAGAAATAGGAAAACGAAGCAGCAATTTAAATAATCGCTGCTTCATTTAAATTTACATGGCTGCTGCGCTGAGCCGACAAACAGCTGATCAGCTGTTTGTCGGCTCAGCGCAGCAGCCATGTAAATTTAAATGAAGCAGCGATTATTTAAATTGCTGCTTCGTTTTCCTATTTCTGGTAGCCTCATCTACATGCCTTTGTCGCCAGAGGCATGTAGTCTAGACGTAGCCTCAGTGTGTTAACGCAAGTCCCACTCCAGCAAGTCAGTCAACCATGGCTGCAAGACATACTCGCTGAAGTCGTGTGGACATGCCTATATTAGCAGTTTGGCAAGCTGAAGTATGGACATTGCTACCTGTGCTGTCTCTAATGCAAAGCTTAAAATTCTATTAAATTCTAAAAAATTAAGGGCAAAGAAATTTGAGAGTAATCTGCAAAGAGGCAACATGGAGGTTTTGGCTCTGGCTGAAGCGTGGCCTCCAGAAGGGGGTGAACATCAGAGGCCAAGCCTGAACAGAAAATCATCTGCATAGCTACTTTTGACACACTAGCATGAATCTATCAACCTAGGCTGTGAACTCACACCCAGCAGCTGTGTAGACGTACCCTCTATAACCTTTATTGATGTGCTTATTACAGGAAGTCCCCGGGTTACATGGATCCGACTTACATCGGATCCCTACTTACAAACGGGGTGAGGCAACCCTGCACTAGCTGCTTCCCCCCAGCAGACCAGGGAGACGCGAAGCTAGCGCCCCCCCAGCAGACCAGGGAGACGCGGAGCGGCTTTTCTCAGCAGACACCTCAGCTTGAGAATAAAGGACTGAGGGAAGTGAGGTGTGGGAGAATAAAACTGAGCTCTGGAGAAATGTTTGGCTAGAGTTTCCCCTATATGTACCAGTTCCGACTTACATACAAATTCAACTTAAGAACAAACCTACAGTCCCTATCTTGTACGTAACCCGGGGACTCCCTGTATTTTGCCAAACTAGATCAGTCTGTGTTGAAATTTTTCACCCTGGGTGTCTGCCAAAACAATATCAGTTTGTGTTGACCTTTTTCATGCTGGGTATCTGCTGGTGTCTGCATTTTTCATGCTGCGTGTCTGTCTTTGCTAAGAAGGTCCAAAGTTTCTAGGCTTAGGAGCAACAAGCTGGAAATATGGAAGAAACAAGTTGGGGTCAGGCATTTGAGTGTCCAGAAAAAAATCACTCAAATGTGGCCTAGTCATGAACCTCCAGGAATTACCTTACACACATTCTCAGAAGTTTGTTAAGAGTTTGGCAGTTATGCTCTCTGAAAAGTCCGTCTGCAGGGAGCATGTGCAATCCACACACCTAGTGGGTGTGGTTCACTATTCCACCTAGTGGCACTTGGACCACTTACAGAGCCAATGAATGAGTGTACTCTACTCTGAGGGCCAGCTGCAGAAGCTCATGCGCTAAGGTCCAAACATGCCAGGTTCACTGTCACCTCATGGCGTTACACATGCTCCATCCCCTCACAGCTACTAAATGCAACTCCCTGCACCATCTCCAGACTGTGACTGAGCTTGGCTTATTCAAGGCTTCCCTGGGAGACTGATCCTCCTGGCATTGAGAGCAAGGAGACTGTCTCTCGGGTATTCCTAGAGCTCCCCATGCTGGCACCCAATCAGCAACGAGTAAGAGGAGGCAGCTTGGTTCAAATGCAAAGAAACAAAGCAGGGAGTGGAGATAGGTACCTGAAGGCAGAAGGGAGGGGGGAAGACTAAGGAGGGGTAGAAGTTGGGGCTGGGTGAGGAAAGGAATGGGAGAGAGAGTATGGAAAAAGACAGAAACAAAGGGTGCATCTTCACTGCACCGCTATTTCGAACGAACTAATTTTATTTCAAAACAACAATGCGAGCGTCTACACCGCCATTCCGTTATTTCAAAATAATTTTGAAATAATGGACGGGTTATTCCAAAAACTGTAAACCTCAAGTTATACCTATTGTGAAATAGCTATTTCAAAATAGGGCACGAGTATATGCTCCACTGACACTATTTCGAAATACCTCTCACCAGTGCCATTCTAAATTATTCCTCCCCAGTGCCTCCTGGGGCTCTAAATCAAGATAGCACATTAGGGAAGCCTGCCTCTGACTAATTTTGAGGCTTCCCTATAGCGTAGATGTGCTATTTTGAAATAAGCTATTTCGGAATAACTTATTTCAAAATAGTTGTGCAGTGGACTGGAAAAAGAGACTGGAAGAAAGACAGGAGCAAAAGGGAGGAGGTAACAAGACCAGGACAGCACACCTCAGAGTCTATCAGTTTGTGTGATTATTATGTTGTGTTAAAACATTCATTATGATCAAAGGAATTTGCTCTGGCATGACACCAGAAGTCTGGTTTTCAAGTGATTATTAAAAGACAAGTGGCAGCAAACAGAAGGCATGCCACCAGATATCTTTTTCTTTTAATAGATTATGTACTGCTGTAAAATCCCAATCCAGGCTCCACCAAATTAGCTTTACTGAACATCAGCCTTGGAATCAGAGCTTTTCACAAAAAGCCCATGCTGGCTTTCCAGGTCAAACTATGTTACCAAGTAATAGAAATGTAGCTGTGTTAGTTTGGTGTAGCTGAAGCAAAATACAGGACTATGTAGCACTTTAAAGACTAACAAGATGGTTTATTAGATGATGAGCTTTCGTGGGCCAGACCCTTTGTTTAGACTCAGATGTAGAGTGTCGAATTTTAGCATGAATGACAGTCCAGAGGATTCCCTTTCAAGTGCAGATACCAAGGGCTTTCTTCTGTTTTCTGTAAGGGGCGCACAGAGAAACAGAAAAGGTGGCGGGTGCTATGTCCTTGACGTCACATCAGACTAATTCAATTTATACCAGGCATCTAGGCTACACCAAATTCTTGCAGGAGACACAATTTTTCATTCAGACTTTCACCCTCAAAAACATGTTGCATACAAAAGACACTTTTTCAAATTAGATCCAAAATCTTTATGACCTTCTCAATCTGTTTGTCACTGATACATGTGGCAACCCTTCCCCCCCCCCCTCCTTTCTTTTGTTGCTTGCTAATGACAAAAAAGTCAGCTGTTTGAAGATAGAGCTTCATCCTAGACAAAGAAATCTGCAACCATCATATATGGAAGCAAAGGGTAGTTCAGACCCAGATCAACTTCACACCTCCCCTGGAGCAACTGGCTGTTGGTAATGGAGTGTCAAAGGGTGATTAAGACGTGGAAAAAGAAATAAGGGTTGAAAGCCAGAGAAGGGCACAGACCAAAATAAAAAAGGGCTTTAAAACCAGTGAAATGAGACTAAATCAAATTAATCCAGAAAAATATCTTAATTCAATGGACGGATCAAGTTTTTTTTATTGTGTATTGCCTGAAATCACCTTCAAAAACAAAATCCTGGTTTCAAGCAATACTTCTTACAAGATAGGAGAGGAACAAGGCTAATTTATGCTATTCCTTCCACTTTCTCCCCATGCCTAAGCTTTCTCTGCAGTCAAGTAAAAAACAGGAGACTGTAGGAAATTCATCCATTTTCTATGACTATCTGCTTGTAAATTGTATTAATTTTATTTTCCATTGAGGCTCTCTCTTCTGGCTAACAATACTGCCTCTATAAATCTCTAGGATTGTGTATTGATTTCATAAATACCTCTAGTGATCTGACAAACTGACAGCTTTAATGGTGTTACTGATGCAGCGTAGAGAAAAAGTTCAGGGTTGC